TGACTCACAGCCACACCCACTGGGTCTCTGAGAGCGTAAAACTGCGCAGAAGGAAACTTTATGTTTCTCACAAGGAGTCGCCGGTTGGTGTGAACCCCCTGAGACACTCAGCCTTTGGGTTTTCCACTCACCTCACTGGCAGAGCTCCCGACGTTCTGACATGCAGGGAACAAAAAACTGAAGAAGAATAGCTCACAGTCCTGAAATATGACAGGATAATGTCCACACATCGTCAGGGAATACCAGTCAGTAACACTATGACTAAAATGTACACATCAAACTCTAACGTGGAAGGCGAAGAAGCTTGAGGTGTTTGCCAACTTCTGTAGTCTGAAACGGATCAAATATGCGATAAGAGTGTACTGGAAACGGCTGCTATCTAGAATGTGAAAGCTGAAATCAAAGAAGAAGAACAGACTGTGGAAAAATTCAGCCTTGGAGACAGAAACTATTCCAGCCACTTCATGACCGAAGTTTGCAAATAAATTTGTTTCAACAACATAAACAGCAGCTATACTCATGGACCTTCCTAGATGGAGCATGCAAGAACGAAATCAACTACACCTGGGAGAGACACAACAGAGTTCAATATCATCAGTAGGAATAAGGCCAGAGCCTAACGGAAGAGAAACCACTGACTGCGCATATGCAAGTTCAAGTTAAAAGTGAAGAAAATGAAAATAAGTTTACAAGTGCCAAAGTGAAACCTTGAGCATATCTCACATGAATGTGGAGACCACCTGGGGAATAGATTTGAAACACTTAACACTAATGACTGAAGACCAAATGAGATGTGAGATGACATCATTAATGAAGAAAGCAAAGAATTCCTTAAAATACTGAAAGAAAGGTAAAACAGATTAAAATGGATGAAAGAACCACCCAGACACTTGCCCTTGGCCATGTAGGAGCTAAAACTCCTCTATAGAGGAAGAAAGAAGAAGAGATCTGAACAGAAGATTTCCCAGGGCTGCTCAGAAGACAAAGCATGACAGAAAAAACCAAGAGGGAAACCATGTCTATATTTCTCAAACTGAATAAAGAAAAATTCAGTCTTCCAGTAGAAATAATTAGTCTATGGACAATCATAACAAACTACTGCTAACACTGAAAAGAAAGGGAATCCTGGAACACTTAACTGTGTTTATGCAAAATCTACACCTAAAGAAGTCGTTGACTGAACAGAGCAAGGGGACACTGCATGGTTTAAAATCAGGAAAGATGTGAGTCAGGGACACAGCCACTCTCCATATCTATCCAATCTGTATGCTGAGCAAATAATTCCTGAACATGGACTCTATGAAGAGGAATGTGACATCAAGATTAGAAGGTATGAATGAGGAACAGTGCAAAACACAATGTGTACGAACTTTGTAAGTATAAATATTATCTAATTTTTTTTAAAAGAAGATTAGAGGAAGGCTCATGAACAACCTGCATTATGCAGATGACACAACCTTACCTGCTGAAAGCGAGGAGGACTTGAAGCTCTTGCTGCAGAAGATCAAGGATGACAGCCTTTGGTATGGACTGCATCTCAACAGCAAGAAAACAGAGGTGTTCACCACTGGGCCAACACACAACACTATGATAGGTGAGAAAGGACTGAAGGTGTCAATGATTTCATTTTGCTTAGATGAACAATCAACATCCTTGGTACCAACAATCTGGAGATCAGGAAAAACACTGCAGTGGGCAAGTCCACTATCAGGGACCTCTCCGTAATACTGAAGAAGAGTGATGTCAGTCTGAAGACTGTCAGAGGCTACGGTCTTTTCAATCACATGCTATGCATCGGACAGCTGGACAATTGAATAAGATGACAGAAGAATTGATGCCTTTGAACTGTGATGCTAGAGGAGAGTACTAACGATACCACGGGCTGCCAAAAAGACAAACAGATTTGTCTTGGAAAGAGTGCAGCCAGAGTGCTCCTCGGAGGAGGCAAAGATGGCGAAGTCTAGTCTCTCATACTTTGGATGTGTTGCTAAGCGAGGCTATTCCTTGAAAATGGACATCCTTGAAAATGGACATCATGGAGGGTCAACAAAAGAGAGAAAGATTCACACAGTATATGCAGTAACGGGCTCAAGTGAGTCAGAGATGACGGGGACAGCACAGGACAGGACAGGGTTCAGGTCTGTTGTTCACAGGGTCACTATGAGTCACCCTCAACTCCATGGCACCTAACAACAACATGGACAAGAAGCTGAGCAACAAATGAAGCATCAAAATAAGATGGAAAGAAGGACTACATAGTAACAACACCAAGAAAAACAGAGCAATGGTCAACCATTTCTGGGAAGACTGTATGATCAAGACCAAAGGTTCTGAAGAACAAAGTCCAAACTTCAATGAAGGCATCCTGGACAAACAAGCCTCTAGAAACTGACAGAATACCAACCGGGATGTTGGAAGTGCTCAATCATCTATGCCAAGAAATTGAGAAGACAGTTACCTGGCCAACTGATTGGAAGAAATGCACGTGCCCATTCCAAAGAAAACAATCCAATTGAATTTGGAAATTGATTAAACAATATCATTAACATTACATGCAGGTATAATTTTACCAAAGCGCATTCAGAAACAGTCGAAACAGTCTATCAACAGAAACTGCCAGCACTTCCAGCTGGATTCAGAAGAGTGTGGAACCAAGGATATCAATGCTGATGTCAGACGGATCTTGGCTGAAAGCAGAGAACACTAGAAAGATGTTTACTTGTGTTTCGCTGACCACACAAAAGCACTCAGCAGTGTGGATCATAAGAGATAACGAATACAATTGCCACAGAGACAACTTCCAGAACTTATTTAAAGACCATGAGACAGTGTTGCAAACAGAACAAGGGATGCTATGTGATTTAAGAACTAGGAAAGGTTTGTGTCAAGATTTCTTCCACTAGACCTGCTTAATCTGCAGTAACGGGAAATAATTGAAAAGCTGGCCTACATAAAAAAGAATGTGACAACAGGATTGGAGGAAGACTCATCAACAACCTGTGCTATACAGATGGCACAAACTTGCCTACAGAACACGCATTTCCTGGTAAAGACCACTGGTACCAGGACAGACAGATTCCACTTTAAAATGAAGAAATCCAAAATCTCATAATAAACATATCAGAAGAAGACTGCAGTTTCCAAAGATTTAAAAAAAATCAAACAAACAAACTTGGATTGATTCACTATCATCGTCTATGGAAGCAGTAGTCAAGAAATCAAAAGACATACTGCATCGGGATGCTGGCAAGTACCTCATTTGAGTACTAAAGAGCCAGGATGTCTGCTCAAAGACTAACTCAAGCTATGGTATTTTTAATTGTCTATGTGCATGCTTGCTGCAGAAGGTCAAGGACTAAA